CAATTAAAAGAATCTGCTGTGTGTTCACTTACATTAAGTTTTTCTGGTGGGGCAAAAATCTCAAACTAAACAAAAATATATATAATAATAAAAACAGAATTAAAAATAAATATATATGTATAAAAATTAGCTGGTATCGGTAAAACAATTTGTACCACAATCTACATTTAAACCTAATGGGGCATAAGATTTTTATTTATACAGCCATTTCATTTCAAGTTAAGAAATTCCTCTTCTACGGTGACATCCTCTCCAGTGAGCTTGTAATTTAGTAATTGCCCTAAGTTTGAGGCCCCTAGGGTCTTTCATATGATGTTGGCGAAAATGTGCTGACAAACTATGTTTTTAAAACCCTTTTTTTATATTTTAAACACGTTCCCTAAGATGATATCTCAGCCTGCTAGTAGTCCTACCAACATATTGTTCCTGACATGGACACTCCAATAGATACACTATATATTTAGATTCACATGTCATACATGTATAAATGGAGTAGTGTTTACCAGCAGCTGTTGAAGCAAAAGTCAATACTTTTTTCTTCCTAGTATTATTAATCGTACAAATTATGTAACTATTACAAGGATAGAATGCTTTAGGATGCATGAAAAAAAGAGGGTGAGGGTTTTGGAGGGTCATTTACATTTGAGGCCAATTTATCCCTCAAATTAGGGGCTCTCCTAAAAATAACCTCTGTTTGGTCCGGCAAGATCTCCCTGAGAACTGGATCTGTTTTCAATATACCCCATCTCCTCTTAAGTATCTGTTTGATCTGGGCATACTGAACAGAGAAGTTAGCAATAAAAGGGCAAAAAATGTTATTCTTTTTTTTTTTCTGTTTAGGAGGACCTAACAGGGCGTCTCTACTCATCCTTGCTCCTTCCCAAATATTGTCATTTAGTAAGGCCTGACATAATAAACTCCTTTTGAGCTGAAGTGATGACCGAGTTTCTAAGGTAAAACTGAACCGCCTCCCTCCCATCAGGGTGTTCTATGTTTGTGTATAGGCAAGCAACATCAGCTGTCACTAAAAACGTATCCTGGTCTGCACAAATATCTTTCAATTCATTCAATACTTGTTTTGTATCCCTTAAATAGGCTGGAGTCTGTGTAACTAGAACATGTAGGAAAGAAACTATATATTCTCCTGTTCTTGATGTTATAGATCCTATTCCACTGATGATAGGTCTAACTGGAGGGTTAATGGGGTCATTATGGACTTTCAGGAGAAAATAGATAATAGGTATGTTAGGCCTTATTGCTGGAGGTCTTGCCATCATTCTGAGTGTCTGGCAGCACCTTATGTAAGTGAACACACAGCGATTTCTTTGTTTTAATTGGTTATTTTATCTGTGTACATATGCACATATGCACTTTATTAAAAAAAATCCCAAAAACGATTCTTGATGCCAAATCCTGTAGATACAAAAGAAAAAGCACATAGTAACAACATGCATTTATCAAAATACGGTCAACGCGTTTCACCTGTGCATTTTGCTTCATTTGGCTATAGAAGATTGCCAAGACCCTGAAACTGAGCTGCAGCATGGTGGCCAAGGCCATACAGCGGTTTAACAGGACAGGTTCGACTCAGAACAGGCCTCACCATGGTCTTCCAAAGAAATTGAGTGCACATGCTCAGCATCATATCCAGAGGTTGTCTTTGGGAAATAGACATAAGAGCGCTACCAGCATTGCTGCAGAGGTCAGCAGAGGTCAGTGCTCAGACCATACGCCACACACTGCATCAAATTGGTCTGCATGGTTGTTATCCCAGAAGGAAGCCTCTTTTAAAGATGATGCACAAGAAAGCCCACAAACAGTTTTCTGTAGACAAGCAGACTAAGGAAATGGATTACTGGAACCATGTTCTGTGGTCTGGTGAGACAAAGATAAACTTATTTAGTTCAGAGGGTGTCAAGCGTGTGTGGGCGGCAACCAGGTGAGGAGTATAAAGACAAGTATGTTTTGCCTACAGTTAAGCATGGTGGTTGGAGTGTCATGGTCTTGGACTGCATGAGTGCTGCCAGCACTGGGGAGCTATAGTTCATTGAGCCAACACATACTGTGACATACTGAAGCAGAGCATGATCCCCTGCCTTCGGAGACTGGGCCGCAGGGCAGTATTCCAACATAACAACCCCAAACACACCTCCAAGATGACCACTGCCTTGCTAACGAAGGTGAGGGTAAAGGTGATGGACTGGCCAAGCATGTCTCCAGACCTAAACCCTATTGAGTATCTGTGAGGCATCCTCAAAGGGAAGGTGTAGGGGCGCAAGGTCTCTAACATCCACCAGCTCCAAGATATCATCATGGAGGAATGAAAGAGGACTCCAGTGGCAACCTGTAATATTCTGGTGAACTCCATGCCCAAGGGGGTTAAGGCAGTGATGGAAATTAATGGTGGCCACACACAATATTGACACTTTGGGCCCACTTTGGACATTTTCACTTAGGGGTGTACTCACTTTTGTTGCCAGTGGTTTAGACATTAAAGGCTGTGTGAGTTATTTTGAGGGGACAGCAAATTTACACTGTTATACAAGCTGTCCACTAACTACTTTACATTGTAGCAAAGTGCAATTTCTTCAGTGTTGTCACATGAAAAGATATACTAAAATATTTACAAAAATGTGAGGGGTGTACTCACTTTGGTGAGATACTGTATACTATTTTAATAATAACTTGTTATCTACTCCCATAGGTAGACACATAGGTTTGTGTCATAAGCACAATACTGAGGTAATAAGGTTTGCTGCGTTAGAATGTATCAAGGAAAAGGAGGGGATTTTGATAAATATATCTTGCAGCGTGAGGTGCGGTGGATATACCACCTTAAAGCCATCTCATCTCCAGGGTTAAATGAGGCTTTAATCTACAAGCCTTTTTTATAGTCTTAGAACCCTTATGGTTGGTCTATGTGTCATCATGGTCATTTTTGTGAATATACTGAATCATCTTGCTGTTATTTGTATCTGCCTATTTGACCATACTATATATAATTTTATTAGATTGTATTGTAACTTGTTATGTATGATTATTACATAGTTTGTTGCTTTTGCTTTATTGGCTTGCTTTCGGTCTCTCTGTGGAGTGGTGTTGGTGGCCTTCTGTCTGGGAGCAGGTATATACACCTGCCCGCTGTCCCTCCTGGGATGGTGATTGTGGAGTGGCTGGTACCTGTCCCTGTCCCTCGGGGACCTGCCTCCGCTTCCTGTCAAAGCACTTGTGCTGGCAGTCTTCGGCCATGCTCGCCGCTTCTGCGGCGCTGCGTGCAGCTGATGTCATCCGAGTGGGTCAGTTTTAGGGCGAGCGTATGCCGTGCCATCTTGGATCTGGGCCGTGACTCCTCGCAGCCCTCTGTGTGTGGCAGGTGGGGGTATCTGGTGCGGTGTGGCGTGCTTTGTGTATTCCCGGCAGGTACCTTTTTTATTGAAGTTTGGTGGTTAGTTCCCCTTATGTGGAACATGTCAGCTCCATTCCCATAGTAGCTGCTGTTTATACATTATCATTAGAGATGAGCGAAGTATTCAAAAATTCGATTCGGCTGATTCGGCGAATTCGCGGAATAAATTCGATTCGAGGCGAATATATTCGCTGCAATTTAACGTATAAAAAGGGTGTTTCTAGGCTTCAGAGAGCCTTTATATTAGTGCAGAACACTGTACTTTAATTTAAATGCCCTTGAAGTCTGCTGGGGAAGAGGAAAAAAATACTGTCAGTCAGTATGACATGCAGATGAGTGCCGTCGATCTTAGAATCACCGCACACTTCACTCATTTGGGCAGACACGGGGCCAAAACCAGAGTGTGGAGCCACAGTGTGGCGGTGGAGGGCAGCAGCAATGGGAGGCCATACAGCACCCTGACAGATTACGGGCCTGGCAGCAGCATGAGGAGTCGGTACGGGGGGGGGCCCATGGCAGATTTACGGGCCTGGCAGAGGCAATGGGAGGCCATACAGCACCCTATGACAAAATAGAACCCACCAGCAGTGTGAGGAGACCTGAAAGTGGCACATGGCAGAGTGTGGCGATGGAGAGAGCAGCAATGGGAGGCCGTACAGGGACCCATGACACACTCTGGACCTGGCAGCAGCATGAGGAGGCGGTACAGGGGCCCATGACAGATTACGGGCCTGGCAGCAGCATGAGGAGTCGGTACGGGGGCCCTATGGCAGATTACAGGGCCTGGCAGCAGCAATGGGAGGCCATACAGCACCCTATGACAAAATGGAACCCACCCCAGCAGTGTGAGGAGACCTGAAAGTGGCACATGGCAGAGTGTGGCGATGGAGACAGCAGCAATGGGAGGCCCGTACAGGGACCCATGACACACTCTGGACCTGGCAGCAGCATGAGGAGGCGGTACAGGGGCCCATGACAGATTACAGGCCTGGCAGCAGCATGAGGAGTCGGTACGGGGGCCCATGGCAGATTACGGGCTGGCAGCAGCAATGGGGAGGCCATACAGCACCCTATGACAAAATGGAACCCACCAGCAGTGTGAGGAGACCTGAAAGTGGCACATGGCAGAGTGTGGCGATGGAGACAGCAGCAATGGGAGGCCGTACAGGGACCCATGACACACTCTGGACCTGGTGGGGATGGAGACAGCAGCATGAGGAGGCGTACAGGGGCCCATGACAGATTACGGGCCTGGCAGCAGCATGAGGAGTCGGTACGGGGGCCCATGGCAGATTACGGGCCTGGCAGCAGCAATGGGAGGCCATACAGCACCCTATGACAAAATGGAACCCACCAGCAGTGTGAGGAGACCTGAAAGTGGCACATGGCAGAGTGTGGCGATGGAGACAGCAGCAATGGGAGGCCGTACAGGGACCCATGACACACACTCTGGACCTGGCAGCAGATTACGGCCTGCAGCATGAGGAGGCGGTACAGGGGCCCATGACAGATTACGGGCCTGGCAGCAGCATGAGGAGTCGGTACGGGGGGCCCATGGCAGATTACGGGCCTGGCAGCAGCAATGGGGAGGCCATACAGCACCCTATGACAAAATGGAACCCACCCAGCAGTGTGAGGAGACCTGAAAGTGGCACATGGCAGAGTGTGGCGATGGAGGACAGCAGCAATGGGAGGCCGTACAGGGACCCATGACACACTCTGGAGCAGCATGGCAGCAGCCCATGAGGAGGCGGGAGTCGGTACAGGGGCCCATGGGAGGCAGGATTACGGGCCTGGCAGCATGGAGACATGAGGAGTGAAAAGTGGCACAGCATGAGAGGCGATCAGTGTGAGGAGACCTGAAAGTGGCACATGGCAGAGTGTGGCGATGGAGACAGCAGCAATGGGAGGCCGTACAGGGACCCATGACACACTCTGGACCTGGCAGCAGCATGAGGAGGGGCGGTACAGGGGCCCATGACAGATTACGGGCCTGGCAGCAGCATGAGGAGTCGGTACGGGGGCCCATGGCAGATTACGGGCCTGGCAGCAGCAATGGGAGGCCCGTATACTGCCAGCACCCTATGACAAAATGGAACCCACCAGCAGTGTGAGGAGACCTGAAAGTGGCACATGGCAGAGTGTGGCGATGGAGACAGCAGCAATGGGAGGCCGTACAGGGACCCATGACACACTCTGGACCTGGCAGCAGCATGAGGAGGCGGTACAGGGGCCCATGACAGATTACGGGCCTGGCAGCAGCATGAGGAGTCGGTACGGGGGCCCATGGCAGATTACGGGCCTGGCAGCAGCAATGGGAGGCCCGTAATCTGCACCCTATGAGCACCCTATGACAAAAGGAGACCTGGAACCTGGCACATGGCAGAGTGTGCAGTGTGAGGAGACCTGAAAGTGGCACATGGCAGCAGATGTGGCGATGGGCAGATTACGGGCCTGCAGCAGCAATGGGAGGCCGTACAGGGACCCATGAGACAAAATGGACCACTGGCAGCAGCATGAGGAGGGAGGTACCTGAACAGGGGCCCATGGCAGATTACGGGCCTGGAGACAGCAGCAATGGGAGGCCGTACAGGGGCCATGACATGGCAGATTACGGGCCTGGCAGCAGCAATGGGAGGCGCCCGTATAGCAGCACCCTATGACAAAATGGAACCTGGCACAGCAGTGTGAGGAGACCTGAAAGTGGCACATGGCAGAGTGTGGCGATGGAGACAGCAGCAATGGGAGGCCGTACAGGGACCCATGACACACTCTGGACCTGGCAGCAGCATGAGGAGGCGGTACAGGGGCCCATGACAGATTACGGGCCTGGCAGCAGCATGAGGAGTCGGTACGGGGGCCCATGGCAGATTACGGGCCTGGCAGCAGCAATGGGAGGCCCGTAATCTGCCAGCACCCTATGACAAAATGGAACCACCAGCAGTGTGAGGAGACCTGAAAGTGGCACATGGCAGAGTGTGGCGATGGAGACAGCAGCAATGGGAGGCCGTACAGGGACCCATGAGACACTCTGGACCTGGCAGCAGCATGAGGAGGCGGTACGGTACAGGGGAGTGTGGCGATGGAGGCAGCAGCAATGGGCCCATGACAGATTACGGGCCTGGCAGCAGCATGAGGAGGGCCTGGTCATGGGTACGGGGGCCCATGGCAGATTACGGGCCTGGCAGCAGCAATGGGAGGCCCGTAATCTGCAGCACCCATGACAAAATGGAACCACACAGCAGTGTGAGGAGACCTGAAAGTGGCACATGGCAGAGTGTGGCGATGGAGACAGCAGCAATGGGAGGGCCGTACAGGGACCCATGAGACACTCTGGACCTGGCAGCAGCAGGAGGCGGTACAGGGGACCATGACAGATTACGGGCCTGGCAGCAGCATGAGGAGTCGGTTACGGGGGGGGCCCATGGCAGATTACGGGCCTGGCAGCAGCAATGGGAGGCCCGTAATCTGCCAGCACCCTATGACAAAATGGAACCCACCAGCAGTGTGAGGAGACCTGAAAGTGGCACATGGCAGAGTGTGGCGATGGAGACAGCAGCAATGGGAGGCCGTACAGGGACCCATGAGACACTCTGGATGGCAGCAGCATGAGGAGGCGGTTACAGGGGCCCATGGACAGATTACGGACCTGGCAGCAGCATGAGGAGGCCGGTTACAGGGGCCCATGACAGATTACGGGCCAGCAGCATGAGGAGTCGGTACGGGGGGCCATGGCAGATTACGGGCCTGGCAGCAGCAGCAATGGGAGGCCCTATGAGCACCTATGACAAAATGGAACCCACCAGCAGTGTGAGGAGACCTGAAAAGTGGCACATGGCAGAGTGTGGCGATGGAGACAGCAGCAATGGGAGGCCGTACAGGGACCCATGACACACACTCTGGACCTGGCAGCAGCATGAGGAGGCGGTACAGGGGCCCATGACAGATTACGGGCCTGGCAGCAGCATGAGGAGTCGGTACGGGGGCCCATGGCAGATTACGGGCCTGGCAGCAGCAATGGGAGGCCCGTAATCTGCCAGCACCCTATGACAAAATGGAACCCACCAGCAGTGTGAGGAGACCTGAAAGTGGCACATGGCAGAGTGTGGCGATGGAGACAGCAGCAATGGGAGGCCGTACAGGGACCCATGACACACTCTGGACCTGGCAGCAGCATGAGGAGGCGGTACAGGGGCCCATGACAGATTACGGGCCTGGCAGCAGCATGAGGAGTCGGTACGGGGGCCCATGGCAGATTACGGGCCCATGGCAGCAGCAGCAATGGGAGGCCCGTAATCTGCCAGCACCCTATGACAAAATGGAACCCACCAGCAGTGTGAGGAGACCTGAAAGTGGCACATGGCAGAGAGTGTGGCGATGGAGACAGCAGCAATGGGAGGCCGTACAGGGACCCATGACACACTCTGGACCTGGCAGCAGCATGAGGAGGCGGTACAGGGGGCCCATGACAGATTACGGGCCTGGCAGCAGCATGAGGAGTCGGTACGGGGGCCCATGGCAGATTACGGGCCTGGCAGCAGCAATGGGAGGCCCGTAATCTGCAGCACCCTATGACAAAAATGGAACCCACCAGCAGTGTGTGAGGAGACCTGAAAGTGGCACATGGCAGAGTGTGGCGATGGAGACAGCAGCAATGGGAGGCCGTACAGGGACCCATGACAGACACTCTGGACCTGGCAGCAGCATGAGGAGGGCGGTGGTACAGGGGCCCATGACAGATTACGGGGCCTGGCAGCAGCATGAGGAGTCGGTACGGGGGCCCATGGCAGATTACGGGCCTGGCAGCAGCAATGGGAGGCCCGTAATCTGCCAGCACCCTATGACAAAATGGAACCCACCAGCAGTGTGAGGAGACCTGAAAGTGGCACATGGCAGAGTGTGGCGATGGAGACAGCAGCAATGGGAGGCCGTACAGGGACCCATGAGACACTCTGGACCTGGCAGCAGCATGAGGAGGCAGGTACAGGGGCCCATGACAGATTACGGGCCTGGCAGCAGCATGAGGAGTCGGTACGGGGGGCCATGGCAGATTACGGGCCTGGCAGCAGCAATGGGAGGCCCGTAATCTGCCAGCACCCTATGACAAAAAATGGAACCCACCAGCAGTGTGAGGAGACCTGAAAGTGGCACATGGCAGAGTGTGGCGATGGAGACAGCAGCAATGGGAGGCCGTACCGTACAGGGACCCATGACACACTCTGGACCTGGCAGCAGCATGAGGAGGCGGTAGCACAGGGGCCCATGGACAGAGCATACGGGCCTGGCAGCAGCATGGAACCTACACAGGAGTGGTAGGGGGCCCATGGCAGATTACGGGCCTGGCAGCAGCAATGGGAGGCCCGTAATCTGCCAGCACCCTATGACAAACTCTGGAACCCACCAGCAGTGTGAGGAGACCTGAAAGTGGCACATGGCAGAGTGTGGCGATGGAGACAGCAGCAGCAATGGGAGGCCGTACAGGGACCCATGACACACTCTGGACCTGGCAGCAGCATGAGGAGGCGGTACAGGGGCCCATGACAGACAGGCTGGGCAGGCAGCAGCATGAGGAGTCGGTACGGGGGGCCCATGGCAGATTACGGGCCTGGCAGCAGCAATGGGAGGCCCGTAATCTGCCAGCACCCTATGACAAAATGGAACCCACCAGCAGTGTGAGGAGACCTGAAAGTGGCACATGGCAGAGTGTGGCGATGGAGACAGCAGCAATGGGAGGCCGTACAGGGACCCATGACACACTCTGGACCTGGCAGCAGCATGAGGAGGCGGTACAGGGGCCCATGACAGATTACGGGCCTGGCAGCAGCATGAGGAGTCGGTACGGGGGCCCATGGCAGATTACGGGCCTGGCAGCAGCAGCAATGGGAGGCCCGTAATCTGCCAGCACCCTATGACAAAATGGAACCCACCAGCAGTGTGAGGAGACCTGAAAGTGGCACATGGCAGAGTGTGGCGATGGAGACAGCAGCAATGGGAGGCCGTACAGGGACCCATGACACACTCTGGACCTGGCAGCAGCATGAGGAGGCGGTACAGGGGGCCCATGGCAGATTACGGGCCTGGCAGCAGCAATGGGGAGGCCGTAATCTGCCAGCACCCTATGATGGCAGATTACGGGCCTGGCAGCAGCAGTGTGAGGAGACCTGAAAGTGACACACTGCAGAGACCTGGGCGATGGAGACAGCATGCAGGCAGAGGGGGCCGTACAGGGACCCATGAGAGGGCCCCTGGCACAGCAGGAGGCGGTACGGGGGCCTGGCAGCAGCATGAGGAGGCGGTACGGGGGGGCCAGCCATGGCAGATTACGGGCCTGGCAGCAGCAATGGGAGGCCCGTAATCTGCCAGCACCCTATGACAAAATGGAACCACCAGCAGTGTGAGGAGACCTGAAAGTGGCACATGGCAGAGTGTGTGGCGATGGAGACAGCAGCAATGGGAGGCCGTACAGGGACCCATGACACACTCTGGACCTGGCAGCAGCATGAGGAGGGCGGTACAGGGGCCCATGACAGATTACGGGCCCTGGCAGCAGCAGCATGAGGAGTCGGTACGGGGGCCCATGGCAGATTACGGGCCTGGCAGCAGCAATGGGAGGCCCGTAATCTGCCAGCACCCTATGACAAAATGGAACCCACCAGCAGTGTGAGGAGACCTGAAAGTGGCACATGGCAGAGTGTGGCGATGGAGACAGCAGCAATGGGAGGCCGTACAGGGACCCATGACACACTCTGGACCTGGCAGCAGCAGCAGAGGAGGCGGTACAGGGGCCCATGGCAGAGTGGCGAAGCGTAAGCAGCTTAAATTGAAGGCCATACAGAGGCCTATGTTAAAAATAATAACATGTTTGGGGCATGATTCATGGCGGATTTAGTCAGTTGTGTCAGGAACTGGTGGTTTGAAATCCAGACTAATCCACGCCTGATTCATTTTCACAAACGTGAGTCTCTCCACACTTTGGGTGGACAGTCGTGTCCTCCGCGGAGTTACAATACCTCCTGCCGCACTAAACACGCGCTCCGATGCCACGCTACTGGCCGGGCATGACAGCCTTTCAAGGGCAAATTCAGCTAGTTGGGGCCAAAGGTCAAGTTTCGTTGCCCAGTAGTCAAGGGGATTGTCTACCTCGGTTGGCAGGGTGCTGTCCAAGTAGGCCCAAGCCTGTTGTTTGAGGTCCTGCTCCAGGTCCACCTGATGCTGCTGCTGCTGCGGCTGGTTAGTAG